ACCAGTTAAGAAGTTATTTTAGAAATCCCAATTTTGAATAAGGACAGGAATTAAGTAATGAGGCAGAGATAAAGATGGAGAAGGGGTGAATTACTTAGATATTTAGATGATAAAATCAGTAAGAATTGACTTGACTGGACATGGAGAATGATGGAGAAAAGTAAAATATGTTGTTTTTTTTAACAGGACCTATCATTCACTGAGATAGGAACTGGAGGAAGAACTACTTTTATAAGACGACAAGTTTTGATTCAGGTGTTTATAACTTTGCTAAAAATCCAAAAGATAGTAGCATATGTATTTCTGGAGCATCTCCAGGAGATCTGACGTTGGGACACGAACATGGACGTCATCAGCACCAACAATGGTAGCTGACACAGGAGTAGTAGATGGGATCACCAAAGATGTTAGAATATAGAGATGAGAGAGCAACAGTCAGAACCTTGGGGAACACTAACGTGTAATGAGTAGATGAACAAAAGTGAGCCTTTGGGGGAAACTGCAAAGTCTGGTTAGAGAAGGGAAAGAAAAGTCCAAGAGGCTGTAGTCCCAAACCATGCAGGAGAGAGTTTTTTGGAAGTACTTGTGTGTGTCAGTGTGAGTGTTTATGTGTGTCAAATATATTAACGATTAAAATGCATCCAATGGATTTAGCCATTAAGTAACCTGTAATTTGGATACCAACAGTTTCCACCATGTGGAGTGATGGCCATATGACAGCAGATTGATAACTGAATGACTGGTGAGGAAGTCAACAGTAAAATCTAAGATACTAATGTAGGCCAAAAATACTACATTTTAAAAATAGGCAAAGAAATCACATCAGGTAGGGCTCCCAGTATGATGCCAAAACTCAATTTGAATTGGTTTAGGTAAGCAGATGAGGAATGGCTGGAAACAGGGTCTGGAATACAATGGGGCTGCTTTCCCTGAAACTGTTCTGTCTCCTGGTGGCTCCATATTCTCTTACCTAAGATCCATTTTCTTTGCATGGCAGGGAACAGTTTCATCAGCAAAGAGAAAAGGGCTTCTTTCTTCCAACTTACAGAAAGAATAGATTGGATCATGTTTCCATCCTGAGACTAAACACAGAGGCTGCGAAAGACAGGATAATGTTAAAAAAAAAAAAAAAAGCCACATGTGTAGTAGGTGGTTGGAAGTGAGATGGGTGAGTCTCCTTAATTAGGGTAACTTCTATTAACAGATGATGGTGATAGTAAGGGTTACATCCATTACAAAAAAAAATGGTTAAAAATATGTGTGCCTATACTATTGTACACAGATGCTATTCAGCAAGATGCTTATAGCTTTAATTTTTCCCATATTTTGAAAATTTCAGTGTTTTCTTATCTTTTATGAAATAAAATTAGCAGGATACCTTTCTTTTGTTAAGAGAACATGGACAGAAGAGAATGCTGTTGGAGGCTGGGCGCAGCGGCTCACGCCTGTAATCCCAGCACTTTGGGAGGCTGAGTGGGCGGATCATGAGGTCAAGAGATCCAGAGCATCCTGGCCAACATGGTGAAACCCCGTCTCTACTAAAAATACAAAAAAAGTTAGCCGGGCATGGTGGCACGTGCCTGTGGTCCCAGCTACTCGGGACGCTGAGGCAGAAGAATCACTTGAACCCAGGGGGCGGAGGTTGCAGTGAGCTGAGATTGCGCCACTGCACTCCAGCCTGGTGACAGAGTAAGACTCTGTCTCAAAAAAAAAAAAAAAAAAAAGGAAAAGAGAATGCTGTTGGATCTAGAAATTACACTCTATGATTATCAGTGGAATTAGGAAGAAGATCTAGGAAGAGACAAGCTAGCAGTCTTCAAATATCTGGCAATCATAAAGGAGGACTGAATCAGCCTGGTTCTAGAGAGTAGATGTGGGGCTAGAAGGCAAACATTGCAGAGAGGTGGTCTTCAGTTCAATGAGGAAGAAATTCTAAGGCTCAGAGCAAGCCTAGACTACAACTGTACTGTTTTGCAACATATTAGAGGTTCTATTAGTAGAAGTACAGGATTTGAGCTTAGGCTGGCTGACTGACAGTGTTCCTATTGAGAAAATTACTAAATAATCCTGGAGACTTGACTGCCTGATTTTCAAGGCCTCTTCTAACTCTAAGAAGATAGTAGGAGACAATTAATTATCTACTGCTTGATTCAACATAGGGAATTTGCATATAGCGGGGCATCTTTCTAATATTTGTCTATCTGTTAAATACTGGTTTCCTGGATTCTTATATTTAATGCTACAGAGAACACTTTTTAAGAAGAAAATGCCATACTAACTAAAGCATTTCGTAGACACTTTTTACTATAGTGTTGACTACAGATTCAGAATAGTTTGTATAGTGAGTAGTATATTATCTGTTTTTACGAAAAGGAGAAACAAAAGTTAAAATGAAAAAAGTTGGCTAGGCACGGTGTCTCATGCTTGTAATCCCAGCACTTTGGGATGCCGAGGCGGGCAGATCATCTGAGGTCAGGAGTTCGAGACCAGCCTGACCAACATGGTGAAACCCTGTCTCTACTAAAAATAAAAAATAAGTCAGGTGTGGTAGCATGCACTTGTAGTCCCAGCTACTTGGGAGGCTGAGGCAGGAAAATCACTTGAACCTGGGAGGCAGAGGTTGCAGTGAGCCAAGATCTTGCCACTGCACTCTAGCCTGAATGACAGTGAGACTCCATCTCAAAAAAATAAAAAAATATAAAAAGTTAAAGGTTCCTAAAACGTTATAAACTTTAACAAAGACTAGTGTTAAGGATTCTTTAGAATAATAGTTTTCTTTCTTTTTATTATGGAGAAAACAAAAAGGAGCTGAAACTCCTTTGTCGCAGTATCTAAGAATAGCACACTAGATGGTGCTATAAGGCTGTCAGAAAGAGAGTTTTACCAGGCTAAGGTGGCAGCTCTGATGGTAGTTAAGTGTTCTGGAAACTTTCCACCTACTTTCAGCTCCTGAGAGCCATTCCAGGTTTACATAAGCTCTAAGATCACATTAACTTAAAACTAAACCACAGGCTCAACAAATTTAAAATAGTTTCACTATTGGACATTTCAATCTGATTCCATTGAAATGGAAAGGTTAAAGTGGTTAAAATGCCAGTGTATTAATTTAAATGTATTGCTATTAATTTTACTTAGCTAGTCTGCCCATGAGCCTAGTTATATCTACCACTTAATGAATCTTAAGTTTCAAGTGGCTTCCTGAAATTCTGAATTATCATTAAGCTGAACATACCAGTCACTCTTTCATTTAGTATTGTGAATATATTATCACAAATATATGAAACATTATATTTTAAAATCACTCTATTAGTATATTATCTTTAAAAATAACACTTCACCATACTGCCCAAAGTAATTTATAGATTCAGTGCTATCGCCATCAAGCTACCACAGACTTTCTTCACAGAATTAGAAAAAACTACTTTAAATTTCATGTGGAACAAAAAAGAGCCTACA